ACAAGCTATGCTGGGTATGTACAATGAGAGGTTATATCTAGTGTCTCCAAAGACCACCTTATTGAGAACTGTAAATCTAACTCCTCTTTCCTAGTTCATTTGTGCTTATGAAACGATTATAGTTATGCTTAAGTGGTCTTCCCCTGGGAATAACTGCTCCTGTCGCAGCCTTGGAAGTGAAAGTTGAATCTGGTTAAAATGAATTGTGCTTGCTGGGAAAAATGACAGAATGCAGTATTTCTCCATGGTAGAAGACTAAAAACAACATTCTCCAAGAAAGATAAAAAATACAACATCAGGATTTCAGAAATCCGTAGACTTGACTGGGATGTTTAAAAAAACCATCCCAGACTAAGACAATGGCAAATAACTGTTATATTATTGCCACGAAAATTGCATGGACTTTGAAGAAGACTTATCTTTTATCAGTCCAAATTATGATTTCAACAGAAGCCTTTGCCTGATGGTTCAACAGAAGAAAGGTTTGATCCGTAGATAACACATCCCATTGACTGACTTTCATGTATCTTTCTCATTTAAATGAAACAGAAAGTTAAAAAAAAAAGACTTTAGCTCTATATTTGCCTATTTGCTACCAAGAAGCAAGGCAAACTCTCTTTGGGACACGCGTAAGAGTCAACCCAAAATACTGATGCTGTTCTTTTTTGCAAAATATCTGCAGTGGATACAGATTCTCAGGCATAAATGTGGATGGTAAGTATGGCATATTTCTAGCAAAGATATCTGGTTATTTCATAGAGGGAGTAAGAAAATGATGATCTGCACTTTGGGTGATTCCCTAAGCTGCCAGCTCTGCCTGACTCCTGTTTTTAAATATTCTTCTCACAATCATTTTGAAAGCTCCAGCTTGTTCCTCTTCCTCAGCCTGGGATTATTTGTTTCAGTTTGGTATTGCAATGCTCTGAGTGTTGATATACAGTAGTTACTCTCAGAAGTATGTCTTGAATCTCATTCTTAAGTAATCATTAAGTGAAGCCAATTGCTGACATGAGGAAATTTTAGTCTGAATTTCATCCATACTTTGTTTTAAAAAGGCAATCATTATATTCTAGAAATGAATTCCAACTTCATCTAGAACCTGTCATTCTTGTGCCCTTCAAACTTTGCTGTCTTTAGGTGGGGGTACATGCAAATCTGAATGTCTTAAACTATTGTTTCTATGACATATATAAAGTGGATTCATGTATAAGGTGGATCCATATCTGTAAGTGATTAATAGCTAAGCTATTGTATATCTATATTGGCTTGCTCTGCTAATTGTTATTTTTTTTCTTTTTTCAATGAAGCATTGACAGTAAGATTCATCACCAAGCGATTTATTGGTGATTATGACCCTACTCTAGGTAAGTTTAGTTATTTGCTCTGTCAAATCAGTGTGTTAATTTGTTTTTGTGATCAATGGCAGTTGCTGTTAACATTGGATCTCAGATCAAAAATATTTAGGGAGAAGACAGTCCTGATTCAAAATGTCATCCCTCGCATCTCTAAATAGATCTGGAAAAGCCTTCTGCCTAAGGTCCCAAAGAGCTATTGGCTGCCAATCATTGTCAGCCATGCTGAGCTAGATAGACTCATTATACAAAATTTAGTTTTAAGATGAAGTACATGTGTTTAATTAGGGTTAGGTTTTTAATGTAAAAGTAGATTATTTGACAGATCTTACAGCTAAGATGGTGCTGTTGTTACTATTTCTTTCTCCTCTATTAAAAATACCCAAAAAAGTATTTAGCTTAATTTAAAAAGCTGGATAAAAAGCAGCAGTAAAACTACCTGATATACTTTAAAATTCCAATTGAAGTAAGAGATGTGTTTTGCAAAGAAAGATGCAGAGATGGAATCAGACAAATTTCAACTAGGAGAACATTCCAGATTTATGACCCACCATTATCAATATAATCAATTATAGAATTATCAATATAATCAAACTATGTATATAAAGTTGCTCTAGTAGTGGGATGGATGGCATATAAATTTAAGAAATAAAATAAGTAATAAAATAAATAATAAATAAGTGCTAACTAGTCAACTAACTATTCAAATGGTTATCAATGATGATTGACTCTGCTGACATCTTACCTTTACTCGTCAAGCTCACATAACCCAAAAAAGCTTTCTGCATACTTGGTGCTCTTCAGAGAGGTCAAAAGACAATTCTCCATCAAACCCTTGCCTTAGATTCATGACAGAAGGAATCCAACTCATTTGAAAGGCACCAATTGGAGAAAGCTGTTATAGAAAGTACATATTCATAGGTCTAGTTAGTTGACGTTCAGGTGGATTGCAGTCCTGTAATTTAAGACTTGTCTTGTTGGATCAGATGAGACTCTTATTTTAATTCACAATTCGGTTTTGCTAAGTTGCCAACCAGAGTATTTCCTAAATAGAGACATATTTTTTTTCCTGCCATTGTACCCCTAATAGTAGTATTTGGAGATGCATATCTCCAAAGACAACTCTAAACCTTCAAGATTAAGAATCTTTGATAGACTTATCTGCCATGAATTTACCCAAATTCCTATGGTGTACAACCCCAAATATCCTAGCCATTTCTTTTAATGGAAGTTTTGAGCTATCTGATCATTTTGGTTGGCCTCTTCTGCATTTTTTCCAGCCTATTATATTTTTCAAATGTAACAATGAGAACTATACCCAGTATTTCAAATATTGTCATATCATAAATCTGTTATAAAACCATTATGCTGTTGGCAGTTTTATATTCAGTTCTTTTCCTAATGATCCCTAGCCTGGGATGTGCCTTCTTCACAGCTGCCACGCATTGAGTCAACATCTTAATTGAATCATCTATTATGACTCCCCATCTATAACAATAACAACAACAGGAACATCACTTGAATACCATCAGCACTGACAAAATCACATCAATTAATTGGAAAAGTCAGCTTTAGTTGGAACAGCTTACATCCTCTGATCTCAAGCAACCACGTCTTCCCCCAGATCCTTGGGAAGAAATTGATAGGTGGAAAAAAAAATCAGATCCAGTGTAAAAGACTGTCTGACTGTGGGACCAACCATAATAATATAAATGTATGACTCCCTGACTCCCAACTACTCTTTTTCCTATATAGGTATACTGTAGGGTTAGATTGTAAGAGGTCGGATGGCACAGTGGTTAGAATGCAGTATTGCAGGCTAACTCTGCCTGTAGTCTGGAGTCTGTTCCTGAAGGCTCAAAGCTTACTCAGCCTTCCATCCTTCCAAGGTCAATAAAATGATTGTTGGGGGCAATATGCTGACATTGTAAACCATCCAGAGTGTGCTGTAAAGCACTATGGGGCAGTATATAAGTCTAAGTCTTATTGCTATTAGATTCCATCGTTATATATGTGCAGTTATCTTGCTTTGGCCCAATGTGCTTCACTTTATATGTTTACTATATTTAAACTTCTTCATTAGTTGTTTTGGTTGACCATTCATCAGCTGAAAAGACCCTTCTGAAGCTCTTCACACCTCCTTGTAGGTTTCAGTACTCTGAATCATTTAAAACCATGGCCATCTCACTGCTTATTCTAAATAGGGATCATTTATGGACTGTCCCAATACAGATCTTTGAAGGACTCCACTCTTGCTTCCCTCCACTAAGAAAGTTGTTCATTTGCTTTCTGCTTTTTAACCAGCTAGCAATTCATAATAGAATAGGTCCTCTTATTCCACAACAGAGAAGCTAACTTAGAAAACTTTGATCAGAAACTTTGTCAAGACTTTTTTGAAAACTCAAGGAATCAACATACATCTGTCTGGTAACGTTCTCATTCTATAATTTACTGGATCTCCATTTGGTCCTTTTTAAAAAACAACAACAGGTGTAACATTGGCTACTTTCCAGCCCTCTGACACTAAATCTAATTAAAAAGGCAAATTACATATTGCTGCTATGAGGTCAGCCATTTCAAATGTGAATTCTTAACAGAACTACTATTTAGGGGATATCCTCAGGACCTAATGATTCATTACAATATTGCCGTGCAAGATATCCTAGAATTTTCTCAGCTTTCTTTGGTGGTTGCAATTTCTTCCCTGAAAAATTAGTATAGGATCAGGTCCATAATCTCCTATGATAAAGCGTAATGCAACAAATCTACCCTGTTTCTCCAACAATACGGCCTCCCCCAATAGGAAGTCCCAGCATGTTTTATAGGCATGAAATGAAATTAAACCCCTCCCCCCAAATTAAGGCCTATATTAAAACATGCGAAATGGGGGGGAATGGTGGGGGGGGGGGCTTGCCGTTAGGAAGTACTTTTGTTGCACACCTGGATATGGTGCTGCCTGCGTTGACCCCGATATAAAGTGCCCCACCAATGCCAAGGTCAACATCCAAGCCATCGCCGCCCGCCTGAAGATGCAAGGGGGGGGAATTAAGTCACCCCCGAAAAGACAGCCTAGCCATATTTTCGGGGCTCAAAAAAAAAATAAGACCCAGCCTTATTATATGAGAAACACGGTAATGCTGTAGGGTGCTTATTTTATCTCTGATTTTTTGCACATTTAGGCCATGATGATCATGTTTTCACTTAGCTTTCAGGCTGGTAGTCTTCTACCTACTTACAATGCTGTTGTTTTTGCATTTTTGCAGTGAATTTGAAAGTAATTCATGGAAAATTAGACTAATATTCATTGTGCCCTACTTTTTATTCAATTTTACTTCCTTGCTTTGTTATAACCATGAAAGCATTCCTCAGAAAAGTAAAAGCTGCTCTTTAGATAACTACATTGAGTATAGGTTTGTAACAGTAAAAGTTCAGATATTTTAAATATAGCAGCAAAGAAGCTGCTGTGAAAACTGGAACAACTTCAAGGAGGTGCTTTAAGTAGTAATTATAGTTTGGGAAACACTCCCAAGAAACATTGTTATATGGAAGTAGCAAGGCAAAATCCATGGCTGGAATTACTACATTTTGAGATGATTTTGATAGATAACTTTTCTAGATGGAGAGCAACATTTTGTGAACTATAAATTCCTGGATAATTACTGAACATGTCTCCATTGGTTTTTTTACAAAGAAATTGTCCTGTCTGGGGTGTGGGGGACGACCCTAAACACTATTTCTTTTCTTTTCTTTTCTTTTCTTTTCTTTTCTTTTCTTTTCTTT